GAATTATTACCTAAGAAAGAAGTAAAAAGGCTAGACTAATATCTTTAAAAACTAAGGCCTTAATAAGTCTGTCTAGAAAAGCTTACTAATTCTTCTAAAGATAACCTAAGAAAAGTTTGAGTTTATTATATATTATAACTTATATAACTAGGGACAGGAACTACTTTAATAAACTAGAAAGAGTTTCTTATATAGCTTACTTATATAACCAGGGACAGGGACTTGAGTTTATTATATGAAATTACTTATATATAGAAACTCTTATTATAAACTCTTTATTTGGATTAATTAGTTAAACCTATTTTTAATACTAAGTTTTTATTAAGGTAACTTCCTATTTCTAGAGACTTTAGATAAAGTAGCTAATAAGTTTCTTAGCTATTAGCCAAGATTTATTAGCTAGAAAATCTATAAGTAATAGATAAGATTATAAAGCAGAACTCCCCTAATTATAATACTAAGATATTTTATTATAATATAAAGTAATTAGATATAGAAGTCCTATTAAATATAATATATCTCAAATTATAAGTTTATAAAATAGGTATAAGGAGTCTTAGTATTTAACTAGTATTATAGTCTAGCCTAAAGGCACTTGCTATTTTTTATACCTAATTTAATAGAAATAAGAAGTATTTATACTTTAATTCAAGGAATAATTAGGACTTTTATATAGACTTAGGGTAGTAGTTTACTTTATAGAAAGAGAATAGACTAGAAATACTTATACTATATTAATTTTTGGAAAGAATTATAGTAAATATTATAACTTCTGGAATATTCTCGAGAAAGCTTTCCCGAACTAAAATAGGCTAGTTTATAATCCCGAAAGATCTATAGGAATCTTATATACCTGAAAATATAAATACTTAAGATAAATACTATTTGAGTCCTAATTTATAATAAAAGAAAAGTAAAGTATATAAAATAAAATATATAAAGCAAAAGTAAAACAAAATACTCGGGTATTTAATAAATAGAAAACCTAACTATAGGTTATAAGAACTAGTACTAACTAGGCATATATATAGTAATATTAAAAGAGAGGTAAGGTAAGGGAAACTAAAAAGTAAATTAGTATATATTTCATAAAAGCAAATAAAGAGATATCTAAATAGCCTAAAGGTAAGAAGTATATATTAAAGAAGTTAAGATTAGAGAAAGAAAAGCTATTTCCTATAAGAATAAGTTAGTATATATTCCAAGATAAAGAATAGGGGTACTTAGTAGCGGCCCAAAGGCTTTTATAAGTATTAAAAAAGGAGAGGAGATATTAAAGTTCGGAGGGATCTAAATAGGAGTTAGCCTCTTTTTTGGAAGTTTAAAAGAGGGTATTCCTAAAGGGCCCAAAGGCATAAGAGGTATTAGAAAAAGGGAAGAGGTATTAAAGTTTAGAGGAATCTAAATAGGAGTTAGCCTCTTTTTTGGAAGTTCGAGAGAGGGTATTCCCAAAGGGCCCAAAGGCATAAGAGGTATCGGAAAAGGGGAGAAGGAGATATTAGAGAAGGGGAGAAGGGATCTAAAATTTAGCTTTCTAAGAAGCAAGTGGGTTAAAGACTTATGGTATGGGAGTTCTGGATAAAAGTGACCCAGAAGTAGTAGTCAGGTGCCAGCTTTTGGTATTATTAGTAGAAGTATTAAAGGAGGAGGGGTTCAGAGGAGGGGTTTGGAGGGGTTTGGAGAAGGAGAGGAAGGTTATAAGGTAGTCAGATGCTAGCTCTTGATATTAATGAAAGAAGTATTAAAGGAAGAGGGGTTCAGAAGAGGGGTTCGGAAGAGGGGTGAGGAGGAGGGGTGAGGAGGAGGGGTGAGGAGGAGTAAAGAGGAGGAGGGGTTCGGAAGAGGGGTTTGGAAGAGGAGTGAGGAGGAGGAGTAAGAAGGAGTAAGGAGGAGAAGAGAAAGGTTATAAGGTAGTTAGATACTAGCTCTTAGTATTAATAGAGGTATTAATAAAGGTATTAATAAAGGTATTAATAAAGGTATTAATAAAGGTATTAATAAAGGTATTAATAGAGAAGGTATTAGTAGAGAGCAGAAGCTCTTAGTATTAATAGTAAAATCGAAAAAATATAGAAAAAGAATAAAGGTTTTAGAATAAAGATAAAATAGAATTATAGTTTTATAGAAAATAAAGTTACTAGTATAAGGTAATTATATTATTATATAATTCCATATTTACTTTTACTATTTATTAAGAATATATATCTCTTAGAAAAAAGTATTATTTAGAATTCTTGAGCCTCTCTAATTTAATAATTATATATTCGAAAAATAAGAAATAAATATAATTATATATACTAGAATAAGGGAATTCTTCTTATCTAAAAATTATAATTATAGTATTACTAAATATAAAAATATAGAAGTTTATATAATAAGCTATATATAGAGATTTAAGGAGATTTAAATTACTTTAAATTATTTATAATTAGTAAAGTAAATTAGCTAATTATACGGGTCAAATATAGTTTAATTATTATTAGTATATTTTAGCTTTTGCGAGTTAGTAAAAGAAAGAATATTTATATCTTTATTTTTATAACTATAATACCTAAAATTATAATTTTTTTAATATTTAAATATACTTAACCTAGGGCTATTAAGTACTAATATTTCTATTTTTAGGTATTATTTATTATAAATTTATTTAGATTTAAATAATTATATTAAATATATATTTTTATATCCTAAAAGTAAATAATAAAGATATAGCTATACTAGCTTTAATCTTAGCCTTAACCTTAACCTTAATTTCCTTCCAAAAATAACTTTAATTCTAATATATAATACTATTATTAAAGATCTCTTTTATTAAAGATATATTAAATATGGCTTTAGGTAGTAGCTCTAGTAAAGGTAAAAGTAGTAGAAAAGATAATAAAGCTATAAATAAGTAAAAAGATAATATTTATAATATATTCTTTAATAATCCAGACTTAGTCTATAATATTCTCTCTTATTAATACGTTTAATTAATAAATTCCTTTACTTCTTGACCTCCTTCTTATATATAACCTCCTTCTTTTCCTTTATAATAATACTTTAATCTCCTTATATTACCTAATAATACTACTAAAATAGTAAAGCAAATTAATAATAAGGCTAAAGTTAGAGAAATAAAGCTATACTAGGGCAGGAAGCTAAAGGAATTAGAGAAAGGCAAGGCAAATCTGGAGGCAAGCTTAGTATATATTTATAGAACCGAATTCTCTTAAGCTTATACTACTTATAGTAATAAGAAGAGACCGAGGGGCCCTTTTAAATACTATATAGTTATAGAAGGCGAATTTAATAGTACTTATATAAATTATAGATATAATAATAATAGTAAAATCTGTACTTTTCATTAACTTAATACTAATCCTACCAAGTCTGGAAAGCCTCGCTCCGTATCTGCAAAACCCTTTATACTAAAGCCTCGACCGCCTATAAGATATAGAAAGCGAGTATAAAGACAGATACAAGGTCAGAAGGCAATGGGGAAGGAGGTTATAGCAGAGGAGGGTAAGGATACTAGAGGAGAAGGGAATAAAGGAGATATAGATAATTCGAGTAATATAGGCAGTACGGAGGATATAGAGAGTGAGGGAGATGGAGATGTGCCTCGTAATCCATGGGATTTGCCTTACGGACCACGCAAGCTAAGGGGGGGTTAGGAGTAGTCGAGAATAAGGCGTGTATGCTGTACTTTTTTTTTTTTAGTGAGGTGTGGTGGGGGGTGAGCGCGAAAATCAGAAAATCAGAAAATCAGAAAATCACTTTTCGCTTCTCGGATTTGTCCGCTAGCCCGCTAATGGCCTCAGTAAGCCCCCCTAGAATCTAGCCGAGCAACCGCCGAATCAGGCCTGCAATTCCGATTTGTATCGCTTAGAATGGGACATCTCCGTAGGGCTGAAGAACGCATCGTGAGTTGCTTGATAATGTCTACAGACCGCTTTTCAATCGTTCTGCCAAGTTCACGATGTTTGCTTCTGACGCTCCACTGCCAACTTCGTCAACTAGCCCCCAATTGCCAAGCACCCCAATTGTTAGCACACTGCAAGATCCTTGCTTCTCAGCCAGGTGCCATAGAACGAGAAAAAAGAAATCATATATAACTTCAGACTGTCCCCTCTATGTTCAGATCAATCTCAAGTTTTTTCCAACCTGTCAGCTTTCCCCAGCAATTTCAAGATGAAGCCTCTCACTGTCTCCCTCTCCCTCTCATTCCTCTCATTATTGAGCACCTCATATGCCACCGAATCCATTCACCTAAGCAACTGCTTCTCAGCATGGGACACCGGCGCATTAACCTATAGTTCCGAGATGGAATAGTGTGTCCATTCCTTCTTAAAAATCTTTCTCCTTCTCCCTCCCCTTCCCTCCATAACCTTCTAACACTGCTTCCAGCTACGCAGACGACGCCACCTCCTCCAACGGCCAAATTCCACTCAGCTCCAACATATGCCAAACCGTCCATTATCCCACATCCGCATTCACAACGTGGCCCGGCAACGCTGTCTCCTGCACATTTTCGTCTGGTGTCACGGTCACGGCATATATCGACAGCGATGCAGGGTCAAGACCGTTGTTTAGTGGATGTGGCTGGGCTACAAATGGTTTTAGGAATTTTAATTGTTTTAAGGACAATGGGAGGGAAGTTTATTCTGTTGATTTTGGAGAAGGAAGGACGACCTGTGATTCTTATTATTATTGTTTTCCTGCTTGAGAGGGGAATGTTGTTCAGGTTCGACGGGTGACGCCGGAATGAGGGAAATGATGGGGGTTGAGGTGACGTGTCACCTTGCTTATGTACTTGGATTGTACTAGTCTTCTAGATATATTGGACTTCTCACCTTTTCGAATGTCCAGAGTTTCTTAGGAATATTTAACATCTGATATCTTTTAATGTACGGATCCGTACTAAGCTCTTCTGGAACATTTGACTTCTTACGTCTTTCGGCTTGCCTTCATCCGTTTCATCTCGAGTTGAAGATATTCTTTCTATGATAATAAATTCTCTGCTCTATAAACCTCTTAACTATTCAAAACCCCTAGGCTATAACCTATAGTTCGGTAAACACCCGCTCTGATTAAAATTTTAATTCGGTCAGCCTTTCAAAGTGTATATTTGAAATCCGGATGTCGATCACCCAAAAGCTCGTATTGCTCATGCGCGTCAAGATCCTCCATCCCAGCCAGTATCTCCTCTCTATTCTCCACCTTCTCCACATTCCTCCGCCTCAACAGCACAATATTAGTCGCAATTCCCAGTAGCATAAAACAATTGAGCGCCAAGTTAAACTTCGCAGCAAATCTGTACTTGGGAGCGGCCGATTTGGGATAAATCCACGTGCTCACAATACCCCCAAGATTTGTAGCCATGAAGCCAAGAGCGACGGCTGTTGCACGGCGAGTATGTGCAGCTGCGTTGTTAGAGAGCCAGGTGATGAGGCAAGGTGCAGTGGTGTACACGCTTGTGATGAGCATGTTGAGTGAGACATAGCGCACTGCGACGGTCTTGCTTATGTAGAAGACTGCGAAGCCGGCAACTGACAATGATGTTGCTACAAAAGCTACTGCTCCCCTGGCTCTGTACTTGTCTGCAATAAGTGCACCGATGACTGTTGCCACGAATGCGATTGCGAAGGGGGGAACGGTATATCGCTGTGTTTTGTTGGCGGAGTATCCGAATCCGGCAACGATGCTGGGCGTGAAGTATGCGAGACCGAAGAGGCTGACGCCGCTGCAGAAGAGTGTGAGGACTAGGATCCATAGACAGAGATCTGGCAGTGCACCGAAAATGTCTTTTCGGATGATGTTGGTGCTTTCGCTTCTTTTTGCGTCGAGTTCTAGGCGTTGTTGGCAGTATTCGCGCTCGGATTGAGAGAGGATTTTGACGTCGAGGGGGGTGTTGGGTAAAATCCACAGTGAGAAGAGGGCGAAGACGATCGTGAAAACACCTTCGAGGAGGAAAATCCACTGCGAATAATCAGTCAATAGTCCCGATGCCTGTTTCGTTATTCCATACCTGCCAACCATGCATGCCCCGAAGTCCTTCCATCAGCTGGATGGCCGTTGCAAGCAAACCAGAGAAAGCACTCGAAAGTGCGGCTGCGCAGAAAAATAACCCAACGCGGATTTGAAGCTCTTGGGGACGGTAGAATCCGGAGAGATAAAGCACGAGACCAGGGAAGAGACCACCTTCAAAAAGCCCGATAAAGAAACGGCATGCGAGGAGTCCGCCATAGGAATTGACTTGTGATTGGCAGGTGCTGACGAGCCCCCAAAGCAACATCATGATCGGTAATTGGATTTTGGGTCCAATTTTTTTGACCATCAAGTTTGAGGGTAATTCGGCGGCCATGTATGGGATGTAAGTGACGGTGATGGCTATCAGGAAAAGTGAGTTTCCATGCTGCATATGGGGGAAAGGTTTGATCAATTTACCGGTCTCATACTGAACATCTGTGAGTTTCAAGTTCTTCTGAAGTCCCGCGATCCTTGCATTTCCAATGTTTGATCGGTCCAAGAATGCGATAAGGTACCTAGGGTAAGAGTCAGACATGAATATAACATTGAACATGAGAGGAGAGTGCTTACATCGCACAACACATGGGGACCAGCAGTAGATCCAACTTCAGTAACATTTTCCTGTCGGTTTTGATATTGAAGTGTGCCAAAGCTTCGCCCCTCTTCGGTTTGGATCCGATCGACATCTTGACGGTGCTCCGGGGTGCCTTTCCTTTGCTGCTTCAGGTCTTCTTTTTGAAGTTGGTACATTCTGCGGTGACATATATAGATATATAGTCCAGGGAGATGCCGCGGTAAGGGGCAACTTCTCGAGGATGATAGGGTGGAACTAGGGAGGAAGTGGCTGGCGAAATCTCCACTTGGGTGGCCGTTCAGGTTGAATGAGTAATCCGCTCTGAGTCTGCTCTCAAATGCTTACCAATGAAGCTAATTTCGATTGGCGAGTATCTCGGCTTATGTCCAGGATCGTACAGAAGTGCTAGATTTCATGAATATGGAGGCTGATCCTTTGATTATTGAAGAGTTGCTATTGGGGGAGAGCAATGGCCTTCTTGGATAAGGATACAGGTGTTGATTATTAATCATCCAGCGACAACCCGATACGAAGTTGCTGCCGGTAGGTCGATGCTTCGGCGATTTATATCGACCAATTAAGAAGAAGGAAGGGAGTGGAGGCCAACATCGTGAAAAGGTTCGACATCGGCAGGGAGCAATTTTTACTGCCCACATATCTTCTTCAATATTAGACATCTTTCGACGAAAATTATTAGAAGGCGATGAACCAGGCCTCCATCGTGGAATTATTTGTGGTTGCATCAAGACCAGCGTATTATTCAGCACGTCAGTTAAATTTACCCGAGGTTGTCGACAACCTCGCTTCACTGTCATCAAGCACTTCATCAGTTAGTTTCGTTCGTCTCGACTCAGTTCGGGGTTATCATGTTTCCCGAATGAAATTATTTGCGTCATGCCACTCACTAAGCTCTTCAACTTTGGGGACAAGGGCGGCTTTACCATTCATTGCCACCCAACCAATGACATTCTAAATGGCGCTATATCTGAGCAGGCCATGGCCAGCTGGTCATTCTTCCAGCGAGTCTGAGACGGTGCCATTCGAGAACTTGAAATTTATGATAGCTTTGCACTTCTGGTTTCGAGCTGCATCTACCTATTACCGCTGCGCATCGCTTGAAGAAAAGCCAAAGACAAGGCCATTCGTCCAGGATTCTTGTCAGTGATGAGATTCTCAATAGCACCTTCCACCAGGAATTACTTTTAACCCTTCTTCTACTGATATTGTTCTTTAATTTGCCATCTCTAATGAGATAAAAAGGAAGGATGACAACATTGCGTTTGTTCCTCTATCTGCGGATCAAGAGAGTCACCATTCCTTGATGGGTTCAGCATAATTCTTGCCAGTGGTAATGCATCACAAATAGAAAGACAATATGGGTTGGTTTCTTTGAGTACCTTCTTTGGAGTTACCAAGGCGAGTGTCGATCAAAAAGAAGACAGGATTTGGGGGAGAAAAAGTATGGCAGAAGAAAAGAGTTTCTCCAACGATTGACAAGGAGCATGCAGTTGATGCAGATTGGGGAAACTTCCACTACCAGCTTCGAGGTTCTGTCGTTTATTCTAATAATTTGCTGCCGGTGTGAAGCGCTGTCAATGCGCTGCTTTCTGTTGAGTCGGCTTGTGGTGAGGCTGTATCGAAGTCAAATGACCAGCATTCTCTGAGGTGTTCTGGTCTGCCTGAAAGCTCGAGGTTGTTAGGTTGAGGGGAATATAGGCACCCAGAAGCCTCTGGAGACTTGCTGGCATCGGCAATATGCAGATAAGATCTCCATAGTAGGCTTGCGTCTTGTATGTCTGCCCATTCGAAGTCATTGGGCTGCGAAGGGAAGGGTGGAGCCTTCAGTGCAGCGATTGACCTCAAGGCTCAAGAGAGCATATCAACCTTGGCTCTTCAAGCTATCCAATCTTTCAAGATGTTTTAATATGTCATGCGCATTGCATTTAGTCCTGCTTTTGCGTCGAATGCAGCACGATTCATTCGTTGTTGGAGTTCTCTCAGTCCGGCAAATTGCTCGCCGCTTTTGAATTAGGAATTAGCTTACCGGAGTATATCCTCAGCCTGCCGACGCAGCCTCGTGCTAAAAAAAAATAGTGCCCGTAGCAACCGATTATTTACATATGGCAACCGCGATTTTCTGGATTCCTTCCTTCCTTTCTCTTCAGTGAACCCAGACACTCATTGATTTCGATCATTGATTACCATCTGCATTCACACTTTGATCTCTTGAGCCTAACCACCTCGATTGATTACCACCATGCCTTCTTTCGCGACCTTCGTCGTTTTCCTCATCCTTGCGCTTGCGCTCCTCGTCGTTCTTCCAAAGCTTCGAGCCGCCGAATCGAATTCCGTCAAGCCACTCACGGTCAGGATCATTCCTCCAAAGAGTGTCTCTGCTGTCACTCCGGTGATGGCGGAGCCTCTTCGAGCCCCTGTCCCACGTGTCGAGACAATTGTTGCTTTCGCACAGCAACTTTCGATCAGCGACCCGACTGCAGAAGTTGATGACCTGCTCTCCTCCTTCTCCTCCTTCTCGATGAAAGCAACTCTTCCACGGTCTTGCTGTAAGTTTACCCACTCGGCGCGATATCCAATTCCTTTCAGATTGCTCTGCACTCTGCGCTCTGTCTTCTGTGGCCGGGTTGCCGCATGTTCCATCCACCATCATGCAATCTACAACTGGCTGCACCACTCTTTCGCCACAGGATGCTGACGTTTTCTCCAGTGAAACGGGATCGCCGCACGCCTAGCCACCGCCGCGTGCACTTTCAGAGAGAGACTATTTCCGAAGTCCATCTGATTGAGACCTCGCCAGGAAAGATTGTGCGAAGTGGGGATACTTCAAGCTCTATTCGACCACACATACCTGGGAACACGTTCTACCGTTCTCATCCCAATGTAAGTGTTGGAGGGAGGGCCTCGTTTATTTATCTGATTCGTCATCTCCTCCGACGGCGATGTCTCAATGCGCCTCGATAGTCATCGCTAACTCTCTTGTTCCCAGGGCCAACTTTACATGCTCAAAACTGACGGAGTCTTCAATTCTCCTGGCCCATCGCACTTGCACCCCCTGCGATGCGGCAACATCAGGAATTACGGCAGATGCGAGTCTTGTTTCGTTCCACGGCAACATAATGTGTTGGTTGATAGAGATTGCAAGGATTTCCGTTCCATTCCAACTCCAAGGACCTGGCCGGCGAACTTGCCCTACTACACTTGATTCGTCTTGCCTTCCTGGATTCGGATACCTCATGGATCTCTCTTCGACTGTGACTGTGACATACCTGTGACCTGGCCCTCCTGGACCCCAGGGACTCGTCCCATATTATTCTATCTAGGATTCAATTCCTTAACAAGCTAAGTACCCCTTTCTTTCTTACATTTGAAAAGAGGCGTCTTATCCACCCTCACCAAAAAAAAATTGAAAATAAAGGCCCGGCTTCTGGAATCCTTGGTGGTTCTTGGACGAAGGAAGTCGGGTATCACCAAACAATCACCAAAACAGCGCTTGCGCAACTGACATTTATCATTTAGCATCTGCCACTCAATTAGCCGGAGGAGTACGGTTTATTGTTGGACTAGAATAAGTATCGTTGATCCATTTGTCTCGTTACGGCTTACTTCTACAGGGTTTCTTCGTTTGAAGAGTTCATAGGTACGGATAGCGCTGGGTAAGCTTTCTTGCCTCTTTCCCATTTGCTGCCACTAATCCACTTTATAGTCAGCATGGTGGGGGGGAGTCCAGCCCTGTGGTGGTGCATTTCTCGACAACATTTGGTCAGTCCTTCAACCCTCATACCTCCCACTATTCTGACTAACCACATGCAACAGGCCTTTATTATCTAACTAACTTTCCTCCCTCTCACAAGGTTTGCCCCTCTTGGTCTTTTGCTAATCTACATTCATCTTCCAGGGGGGTCAGGTCACAAGTCACAAGTCACATGTCACATCTCTATCGTACGGCCCTGGCTGTACACCTCTGGATTACAATCCCTCCAAGACAGGCACAGCACTCCAGACGACACGCCCTGTTCTTCCAATCCGGACTAATGTTCCTCTTCCTCCTCCTCTTCTTCTTTCGGACATCAACCACCCGAGACAGGCGCAGCGCTCGAGAAGACTTGGCCCTGTTCTCTCCCATTGTTCGACCCTCTCACCACCCACCTCAGCATCCTCCTCTTCTCACTCAAGTCCTGGAAGGAGTGCGCTATCCCCGCTCCCGAGAAGGCCTGGATATCCAACCAGACTTGAGATCCGACCACCTCATCTTCATCGAATCGAAGCATTGACTCTTGCAGCCCTCGAGACGACACGCAGAGTCCACCAACCTCCTCTTTCGATTCTAGCTCCGACCCGCTACGTCCTCCCTGTCGGGCTTAGTAGACAGGGTCTCCTCGGGCTCGCGCCTGGGGGGAGCCCATCAATAGTCCTGAGCCTTCACGAGGCGATGGGTGTCAGTAGTTCGTTTCCATCATCTGATCAGTGGTGCATGGGACGAATGAAGCTAAGACAGGACTTAAGTAATATCTTCTTAAATGCACTTTGGTGATTTGAAATTTGTAAAAGGAAAGTCTTTTGGTATGGTTTGGAAAGTTCGAGTGGGTGAGTCGCATTTGAGGATTTGGGGAGGGGCGAGGGGCAAGGAGCTTCTCCGAGGATTATGTAAATAAAATAATGAAGCTTATCTACCTGAATGAAGTGGTTTGCAGTTATTTGAGAAACCTAAATGGAACTTAAAACCCCTGGATTCAATAAAGCATTACTCGATTCCAGCCTGATTGTTCTTTCGCAGTGGCGTCACGTGCAAGCTTATGTAAGGTTAAGTCCCTGCATTGAGTAACCGGGATCGAGTCTCCAACCTCACCACACTTCACCTCGTCTCCTCCCGTGTCAATATCCTTCAATCAAAGCTATTACGGTCGAAGAAGCTTCATTTGTCGCCCGGTACTGGAGAAATGCGTTCAATTCCTCGGGTGGCTGTTCCTCCTCAAACAAGGGCACCCTTCGGAAAGTTCAAGAAGATCTACCCACACCATGTGATTCTACGGCCTCTTTCCATCCCATCCCGAGAAGTCTTTACCGAAGATGCTAGGAGAAGGATTTACATCGATAATGCTGGCAACAATGCAATGCTCCTCGCGTTTTACATCCGTCGCGCAGGCTTGTCGTGTTTGTGCAAAGAGGGGACCTGAAGAATATGAGCGGGTGGGTGGAGGTAAGTTTTGGGCCCTCACCCCACGTCCTGGATGTACTTCCTTGTTCGTATTCTCTTGCTAACCAAACTCTAAGGCTCAAAGTTATCATCGATGGCAGTGTTCACGAATTAGAGGGCGTTAAGATGGAAGTTGTCCCCCGAAGCTATAATCGATTGAAAGCGCAAGACTTCCAGCCTGTGCCACCAAGTTCAGGAGCCTCACCGAAAATATCCCCAAATACAAAAAACTCAACTTCCTCTGGAAACTCACTTGATTATCTACTGCGCCAAAAGAAGTCCCGCCACCCTGTATCACGCAGAGAGAAGAATTCAGTCAGTTCAGGACGCACCTCCAGGGGCAGAATTTAGCCCGGGCCCTATCCTTAACCTCATATCAAGACACTGTGTAAATAGCATGGGAGAAGTCGGGTATAGACTACATCGGGAGAGTAATGATGTAGCAACACAAAACGCAATGGGCGTCGTTGAAGTAATATACCAGGAGATCTTCCCAGATCTTCGATCACATCCGACCTCTCTCATTGGTTGCAAGCCGCGTTGACCAGAGCACATCTCTCTTCAAACGCCTTGCAAAAGCTATCGAGTATTCTGTTTTAGGGCGGTTGTCAGTTCTTCAGGAGTACAAGATAGGTGAAGTCTTTGCTGATGTGGAATGGAGGAAGATCGGACGTGAACTTATCAGAGAAGCTGGCTGGTGATCCGAAACGATCTTGAAAGAATGATTTTGCTTGAGCAAGTAACAGAATGGGTAACGTCCAAGATGCTCCAAGTTCCGAAGGCGGGAGATCTTCATCCAGCGCTTATTGATGTAGTAAGTGGCAGAGAGTCAGATATTGAAGCAGTCAGTGGTTGGTTTGTGAAAAGCGGAAAACAACTCACACACCCAGTTGAATGCCTTGCGCATCAACAATGGTAGACCAAGTCAAGGCTAAAACGGAGGAGGTGAGAATGGAGCTTGAACTGAAGGAGAATGATAGGTCTGAACAAAAAGAGATGAAGAGTGGAACCAAAAGAATGGGTCTATCTGTGGACAGCGGCGCCGAAAGACTCGACAGGATGGAAGCAAGCAGGATGAGGTAGAAAAAGCGATATAACGAAGCACTTGAGAACCAACCAACCAATGCCAGAAAGCTACACTTCCCTTCGATCTCACCACTGAGGAACTTGAAACTTCGACGAGGGTAGTACGATCCGGCGTTGTTCTAGCTCTTATGGGGATACTTCAAGAGTTCCGGCTCGCACAATTAGAGTCGTGTCCCGAAGCTTGAATTGTGGCCTCTTTCGCATCTCGTCTAATATAATCTTGGTTCTGTATCATACAAATCGTGCGGTATCCTTTCCGAAGCTTTCCACCGATCAAAACACAACGAGGCTCCACCCGAAGACCAAACTTCTCATGTCTCATGCCCTCCTCACCGACCCCGACGGTAGTATGAATCGTCCGAATAAATAGTCGGAGCGTATTCTGACCCTGCTCTCTGACGGCACGGATCTCTCCCATTTTGCCGTTGATAGTCGTCTTGCTGCCGCTGCTGGCGTTGGTTGGGTGGGTACGGACGTTGAGGCTGGAAATCTTCTCTGGCAGCATAAGGCACCTGGTTATCTCGATATCGATCGTATTGGTTCCCGGCATTCATGGGCGCGGCATAATATGGTTGGGGAATTGGAGGGGCGGCAGGAGGGTTCCCAAAGGGAGCGTATTGGTATGAAAGAGGAGCGTACCCCACGAAGGGCATTCGACCTATCGGCCTCTGCTGTTGTTCAAATTGTAGCCGAGCTTCTGCAGTCTCGGCTCGAAACATAGCCTCCTGGACTTCAGCGCGGAGGACTGCTTCATTGGCTGCGGGAGGTCAGAATTTGCTGGATTGGTAGTTTTTTTTAATATTTTTTTTAGGGAGGCGAAGCACCCACCTCGATACTGCTCCTCCAACTGGCTGTAGTCAGCTTCACGCATTCTTCTGAGTTCTTCTTCTGCCTCTCTATCCAGAGCGCGAGCTCGTGCTGTCGGGGGGTCAGATCAATGAGACTGTAGGAGGTTCTGCCACCAACTCACCGATCTCACGCGCAATTTCAATATCCCCTCCATGCCTGGTAACGACGTCAAAATTCCTGAACCGATCATACATCATCATCTCATAGCTAGCTCGTCTCGGTCTCAATAATCTGATCTGCTCGAACTGCATGAATGTCGGCAAGCCGTCAAACTGCCCAGCATTCCTCAAGTTCGTCAAGATCCGTCGAGCATAGCGGAGGCAGTCGTATCGGTATCCAGTCCTGTCAGTCACCAGGAGCTCGGCATCGATGTCACGTTCGAGAACATTGGGATGGGTGCCCATCCGAAGTTGTCTGATCACGAATACTTCGGCTTCTGCCCAGGCGGCTCGGATGTTGTGGATTCGGCGTCGGGATGGACCGATACCTCTGACCAGGCCGTAGCCTTCGAGGCTTAGGTCCGCTGAGGTGAATTAGCATCGGGAAGGGACTGTTGATCTGGTGGACGGGTACTCACGGAATAGGTATCGACGATAATGACGGGCGAACATGGCGTGCCGTAGGGATGTTATCTCGAGGTGGATGTTGGAAAGTTTGCTGTTGACGGGGAGTCTAAAGCTCGGGAAACTAATCAACGCTATATGGGATGCCGGAAATTTAGAGAACACTCGCTATGGGGAAGTGAATCGGACCAATTTTCGAACACATCCATTCCGTGAAACGATCTAGAATTCCCGTCATACTCGGGTCTTCTATAACCAACCTTCAAAACAACACAACCAACAGCGGTCCAAAACTTGGAATCGTTCAGCGAGAATTGGATGTTACCCGAGGCACTAGTTTGAAGAGGCAAGATTCAATATTCGTCCCTATTGCTCGACGGGCTCCCTCTAAAAGAACACAATCTCCCCGCACCCACAACCGATATAGCAGCCCCAGCCGCGCGTATCGATGGCAAACGGAGAAATGAAGCAAATCCAAAACGAGATATTATCGACTCAGGCTTTTCCAAGTGACTTCAGTTCGATCCTCTCGCTCCAGAACTATCTCCCAATCTTTGTCATTCCGAACGACTCGATTCAATTTAGAAGCCCAGATATCAAGTCTTTCGCCGCCACATATTTGTGTCTCTCTTCCATCCTTTGGGATTCGTTCGGACTCTGATCCAAGATTGAAATCATCTCGTCATCGCAGCTGCCCCTCGTGGTTGATAGATTGTGGCCTGGGCGCGAGAAACATCAAGCTCAGCACCAACAGTGTCGCCGTCAATACCGTTTCCTCGCACGTAGCAGGGTACGAATCGATGTATTTTTCGGCGTGCGCCGCAGCAGGATCGAAATTGGTAGAAGCAGCAGAGGCCATTGTTTCGCAGCTCTGCGACGGAAATTATGTTAAATCACCGATGCTCTTATGGGAGAGATTGGTGATTGGATTTGTCATAATGAGATGGCACTTTTCTTTACATCTGCTAGGTGACACAATCTCATTCTCTTGCTAGCTCAAGGTGCATAATGCGCGCTCTTATATGTTCCATCAAGCCCACCCACGCCTGCTGCCTAGACCAATACTAACTATTTATACGGCTACGCCCCGCAGCTCCTCCCTCATCATCACTGATAGCCTTGGCTCCATTCCCTGTCGCGATTTTTCCATATGACACGCAATCTGCAATTAACTGTCGCGCTCTTACTTTCCCCAAGTTCTTGAGACTGAAACACAAGAAGCAGGCACCAACGAAAGAATCAACAGCAACCAAAAGTTCTTCTTCTATCAATGATGAAGCATTCATTCCTTCAGGTGGATTCGTAGATGGTGGTCTCGATTTGGACGGCGTTCCTTCCGATATCAACCGTCTTCCGACTTATGGCGAGCACAATTACCAAGGACTACTGGAGGTTTCTTTATGGAATATCAGAGCACAAAAGGCTACTGACAGCCATCGGAACTCTACGATATATTCGAACCGACTACGTCAGAGCTCACCCTATTCTCTACGAAACGACAAAACGGAACAAGAAACTAACTTTCTCAAAACGTGTAAGGTTGTCTGGGGGAGCTTCTTTGCTAGATAAGAAGCATCATATGGTGATTGGCGGAAAAGATGTGTTAAGGTGTTCTCCGTTATATATGAAATTTTATACGGATTCTCCTGATTGTTTATTGATATACTTTTAACTATAGAACAGGGCTCTTTTTAGAAGCATTAAAGGTATGGGTATTGATTTGGACGGTTCCACAGAGGTTTTTGGCAAAGTACCGATTCCATTAAATAGTTCAACGTTCTCTTTAAGATAGAGAAATGTACAGAGTTCACCTAGCGTCGGAAGTATCCTAGGGGCTTCTCGTCACAATCTTCCCATAATGTGTAAAGTCTCATGACACCCTTTTCCCTGGGCGGGAGGCTTTTAAGAGCACCTTGCTTCTCGTGCTGCGAAATAAGCTTAATGTGATTTCAAACATGAACGTACTTTCTTTTATTCCGTTGGCAACGGCGCATTCGTTGTGTGCATGTCCTGTCACGGCCTGGAAAAGCTGTGGAAGTGGACATGTGGGTGTATTAGTGTAAATATGTAAGAATAATGGAGCCCTAATAGCGATAAAGAAGCTATATATATATGCCTGTACGCAGCACGTGACATGCCCCCTCAAAAAGAAGTGTTGAACTAGCTAAAGCAATATAGCTAGGGTCACGTGCTTGCAATGTAAACCAAGTAAACGATACTGAATTGACTGCTGTTCTACAGTGGTAAGTAGCCCGTATATATAGCCCTGAACCCCCTAAGTCACATGTACTAAATCCCTATGCCAGCTGAACCGATTACAGCTATACAGGGTATTCCAGCCGTACATGGTATTCCAGCTATACAGGGTATTCCAGCTGGACAGGGTATTCCAGCCGTACAGGGTATTCCAGCTATACAGGGTATTCCAGCTGGACAGGGTATTAAGCTAGTGCACAGCCCCATGGCGTTCGGTTCCAGGGCTTACTAAGCCTATTAGGGGCCTCAGGCCCCTAATTTCAACAAGAAGAAAACGTCCCCGTTTGAGCCTAGCCTACGCCCTTAACTAGCTCCTCAACTCTCTTCTCCTCCTATTTAACAAAGTTCTAATACCACAAATTTGCCGGGCTAGGGCCACTACAACTAGGGCCACTAGGGTCACTTTACTCTGGTTCAACCTGGTAAGCCCTAGCCTTATAAGGCTTGCGAGAGTAGTTTCCTGGAGCTAGAGAGTCCTTGGAAGCTAAATTAAGAGGTAGAACGATACCGGTAAGGGGCTCAGGGAGATTGGAAAGAAGATTCTGTCTTGGCCAAGGGGCTCGATAAGCCATATCTAGCTAGAGGATTCATTTTATATTAATAGTAGTCAAGAACTGGCCAAGGATAATTATCTTTATTAGTTCATTAATATGGCCACGTAAAAAAGTATGAAGAGAATTATGTATTAAGAGAATTATGTATTAAGAGAGTTATGTATTAAGAGAATTATGTATTAAGAGAAAAGTATTAAACTTAGACTTAAAACCAGAAAAACGAGTAAAGCGAAGCATTTCTTATACCTTTATACGAATAATCTTGCCAGAGCGAATATTATAAAAAGTAAACCGAGAGAAGATTAAAGTACGTAAGGTAATGCCAGAATATTCTTTAAACCGTGAAATAAGAGAAGTATAAAGCTCAGAGACAAGAGCAAACGAAAGGAGACAGCGTTTAAGAGCTATAAGCTTTATCGAGTATTAAAAGAGAGCAATGCCACGAAGGTAAAGGGGGAAGTCTATACGGATATTGTTATGCTAAGTCTTTACTTAATATAAGAGTATATCTGTAAATATAAAAACGTCCGTATAAATCACTGTCTTTCCCGTTATATCCGTGACTTCTGGATTAAAATAACCAATGTTTACGGCATGTAAGCGAAAAGAAAGAGGGTTCGATACTAGTAATAGACGAGCAAGAGGGATAGCAGGAGCCGGGATCTCTCGCAAGTTCATTTATTAAAGGAGCTATATAATCTGTTTTAATTAGGTATCGTTAAATCCATCCTTTTAGTTAAATCGCTAAGGGATCTGCGTTAAAAGAGAAGCAGAGGGTCGTTATTCTTCGTCTTCTTCTTCTTCTTCGTCTTCGTCGGCGGAGGCAGAGGCTTGCCTGGTGAGGGCTTTGCCTCCTTTGGACACTAGGGGTTTTTTTTCGGGGCCATTCTGGAGGATGGCATGTGTGGGTGAGGACTTAATTAAGAGCTCGTACTAAGGTATCGATATGGAGGTCGAGATCTTAGGGCATTGTTACCATGTCACGGCCTGAACAAGCTATGGAAATGGAAATGTGGGTGTATTAGTGTAAACATGTAAGAATGATAGAGCCCTAATGGCTGTAAAGAAGCTATATATATATGCCTGTGCGCAGCACGTGACATGTCCAGATATGCGAATAGCAAAGGTACAAGCAATGGAGATTCTCCGGGTGTCACAGCTCACTTACCCGTCAATGTCACCGCGAACCATATAACAGGCAAAACGAGATGGCCGACATTTATGCTTCGTCTCTCCCGTACCAAGTCTTTGCAAGAGGCTCGAGTGGAAGACTCCAAGCACTCGAACGCATTGACAAAATTAGCTGAAGATCAGCATGTTATGCTGGTACCCCCTCATAAGGTATTTTGAGCGAGCAACCAGGTAGAACTCGTGCATTCATTGAGATGGGGTGGGCAGAATTCAGATTCTGCCCAGAGGCACAGCGAAAGCGGGGAAAGAGGCACAACTTCGAGAAACTCTTGACTTGCAGGCGCAATCAATGGCCCTGACTGTGGCCACCAATTGGAGGTGTACTACTTTCCTATTCCTTGTTGGTTAAATCAAATTTGACGGGTATGAAGTCAAGAATGGTCGGGATGGCCCAAAATTGCTTCAGCCACGCCAAATTATCCAGAATATGTTTAAACCCACAATCCCCTCCATTTCCTCTTGCCAAAGTATCGCAAAAGCCCTTGGTCTCCAACCCACGATATCGAAATAACCCATACTAAAGACTCGGTGACTTACTAGACACTCGCAACCCACAGTAAGTAATCAACAACCATTGACTTACCAACTTTGAAATCTCATTAGCCTGTCTATAGCTCCATCATGCAAACTATCACCCTCCTTCTCACGGCTCTCCTCTCCGCTGCAGTGCTTGCTGCTCCAGCTCCTGGACTCGGCGAGGTCCCCGCTGCTCTCGCAGATCGCTCTCCCCAAGAGTGCGTGTGTGGTGGCTGGACTTGCTGGGACATATGTGGGCAACCGTTCTGTTGCTAGACGAGAATAGCATTATTTGGGCGGGCTGGGATATTGCTCCGTAGTGTCTTGATTTGGAGATCTCTTGGGGCCTATGTAAAGAAAATTCCATCGATTGTGCCAAGCATCAGCGTATTTTTCTGCTTCCTCGATGCTAGCATACTATGAAATC